ATGTTTTTCATTTAATAAAAGGAACCGGCTCATTAGAGTCATTAATTCGTGTATTGGAAAGCAATTCACTGGTGTACAATAGAACATCCATGGATGGTTTGATCTCGGGTAAGATTTATTTCAAATAATAAAATAACTATCCAAATGACTGTTTAGTCGATCCTTAAATAATCCCTCATTTGAGAAGCATTTGTTCACCATTTGCATGCAACATTCACATATCCTCCATGTGTCTATTATTAGTATAGTTTGAGTCTCATATTATAAGTCTGTTTGCCATAGACAAATAGCTACATTGACTCTCTACAATGAATCATTGCACCACTGTCATTGAAACCATTTCTTCCACTGCAAACATAATGCAAAGTTTGTGTAAAACCCAAAGAAATATTCCAGGAAAGGACTTTTCCATGGTCTCCAAGATGGTTTTCAATATTTGTGGGTAGGATATACAAAAAATAAAACACATTATTTTCTTTGGTTCCTGTTGCTAAAGCACAGCATGGTAAACAGCAATACGTTGCGAGGCTAACTATAGTTATGGAATATGAAATTGAAGAGCTAGTGGGGTCGTGCGTGACAAATATCGAATATGGAGGGTCACCACGCTCTGACAGACGGGTTAAAGAAAACAAGTAAGGAAGAGGTGAAGGTGCAGTGTTTGTCATTCTCTGTCAGAATGGTGACGGGATGTAATCCTTCTTTATATCATCTTTCATCCTTTTAAGGGAAAAAAGAGGAGGATGACAGAGAAGTGTGAGTGTGTACACTCATCAATGGGAGCTTTTCTGACAGTTTCAAGGCGGCATGAATTTTAAATAGAAGGCAAGTAGCGATGAGTGACAGAGGAACATTGCGCTCTAAAAGAGAGGGAATCCAGAATGACATTTACAGGCAATGAATCAGCCACTTGAAACACATTACACGTGTTTTCTTAATAAATCCCCTCCGAAAAACACCATTGGAGGTCACATAAAGCAGAAAATTCCCACAGTAGTCACCTGGAAAGACAGGTGAGGTATGTGACATGCCTTAAGCCATGTCAGAAATATCATTGTGAGGAAGTATGTTTCTGCTGAAGAGCTTCAGGGGAATAACTTCAGGTCGGAACAACTTGCAGAGGATAAACACAGCAAACCTCTTCAGCGCACCATGTTTTTTTTTTTTTTTTACTTATTAAAAATGTTTAACACACAAAAAGTTCATAGTAGTTAAATTAGCAAAGTAAAATTCATAATAATTATTATTTTATAAGAAAGCTGGGTAACACGTTAGTTGATGGTCCAATTCTCACTATTAACTAGTAGCTTAATAGGATATCACTAGGATATTGGCTGTTTCTTAGTCCTTATAAAGCACATATTAATGCCTTGTTCTGCATGACCGATACATTCCTAATCCTACCCAATACCTAAACGTAACAACTACCTTACTATTAACTATCAATAAGCAGTAATTAGGAGTTTATTGAGGCAAAAGTCATAGTTATTAGTTAAAGTGTGACCAAAAGCGGTTATAAAAGCACTATGAAAGTAAGCGTTTATTGGAATAATGTTCAATATACAGTACAGTTCATTGGTCATTATAGAAAAATATTTGCAAAATGGCCAAGTTGACCGACCAGAATTCTAGAGAGCTGTTTCCAATCTTTGAATGTCATTTATTTGAGCATGGAGATAATGTTTGCTTTATTTGTGGATGGAATAGTAGGATAGTGCAGACTTTGTCTCCAGGATGTTGCCTGGAGCTTTTTATAAGCTAAAAATCATGTACTTGCTCTTTTAGCTTGGCTACTTTGTTTCTCATTTGTAAATCGCTTTGAATTGTCATCTGCTGCATGACTAAATGTAAATGTAAATGTCTAGTCTTTGTCCCTCTGTCAAGATTCTGTCCTTAATGTGAAACCCACCCTATAGTGAGAGTGAACATCTTGATCTGTTTAACATGCTAATTCTGAGTGAACCGTTCATCAGGGAAAGATGAGGCATGAATATTTCAGGAGCCGTTCACTGGACACATGTTGTGTGTATGGTGTTCGTCCATATGTTCTGTCTGTCTCTGGATACTGTGTCTCTCTCTGTCTCACAGTCAGACACACACACACACACACACACACAAAGGTGTAATTGATGTGCAAAGTTATATGATGTGATGAACACGGACAAGGAGTGAGGTCATTAACTGAGGAATTAGCAGGACATGGCTTAGATGGCTCAGGGTAAAGGCAAGATATCAACATCTCAGAAGAGAGAGAGAGGTGTTAATTGCTTTAGTTGAGCTGTGCTCAGGTGGATCATAGCCTGTGGGATTTCTGTTTATATATATCATCTCTGCGATGTTCTGCTTAGGGGGTCCACTAAATATTTGAATACAATAAAAAAGATTTCACAATATGTCAGTTAATTTATGAAATAAAGTTATAATGTAATGTATGTATTGTTAACATTTATATTATTTATATGATATGTAATACTTTTATTTAGCGGGGACATTACATTTTATTTCTGTCAAATAAATGCTGTTATTTTGGACTTTTCCTCAAAAATATGAACTTTTTTCAACATTGATAATAATAATAAATGTTTAAATGTTTTTTGAGCAGCAAATCAGCATATTAGAATGATTTCTGATGGATCATGTGACACTGAAGACTGGAGTAATGATGCTGAAAATTCAGCTTTGATCAGGAATAAATGACATTTTACAATATATTCAAATAGAAAGCTGTATTTTTGTTTTTATTGTGTTTTGATCAAATAAATGCAGCCTTGATGAGTCTAAGAGAATTCTTTCAAAAACATAAAAAAATCTTACTGACCCCAAACTTAATTAGTGTATAGGGCGAAAAGTTGGAAAACCCCTGCTCTTATACACAGTGTGCGGTAACAGCAAAATAGTTGATAGGAAAGGACTGTGATGATGTGGTACTTACTGACAGTGCAATGACATGCAAACAGTTTCATTATGAGACTTTTTGCTTGTCGTGAAACAAAGAAGTGATGTTTGAATCCGGTGTCTTCAGTTTTGCAAGTTGCACAACAGAGCGCCAGTTTCACTCTCATCTCCTCCCTGTCATGTTTACAGCATCTTTATCAAATCAGACCTAGCCTACTGTATGCTTTTGACTCTTTTTAAACCTCACAAACATAGTTTACTCACTGTTGTTTCGTATTTATTTATTTAAGTCTTTTTCAGTTTTGGGACGGATTTCAAAGGCAGCCTAATTACGATCAATAAGCGAGTGAAGTCAGGGATGAAATAGCAGATCATTTAGCATATAGTGCTGCTGTAATTTGTACAGGTTTGAGTGTGTGGAGAGAGCGCTGATTTCCCAGCAGGCTCGGTGGAGGCCCCGTGCCTGTTTCTAGAGTGGATATACTCGAGTCGGGTCGAGTTTGGCTTGAACAAGCAGCCAAGGATAACACAGGGCAATGTTTCCGGTGGCTTCAGCAAATTCAGCCTTCCTCAAAAATGGGGAGTTATTAAATATCCAAACATGGCCATTGATCAAGGGTGGGAGACGGCTAGAAATTCAGCCCAGACTTTATAGCCACAGACTTGGTGTTACCAAGGTCTCTCAACCTCAGCACAGCACAAAAGAGGATGTAGATTTATTATAAAATATCATGGAACTGTACTATACAGTATATATGTGCAGGTTTTAGACTGTTTTAGCACTGTATTTCTCTTTTATCTGTAAGCTTGCAAACACATCCTCACTTTGCATAACACACACACACACAACCACTGCAATGTTTATGCAGATGGCAAAAATCCACAAAATCTGCAGCTCTGAAGTTTCCAGATTTCCAGCATTATTATTACCTCATGCCGTCTATACAGGCTCATTACGAAAGCATTTTGGATGCCTTTTTCAGCGCACCCAACTGGAGTTGTCAAGTCAGCAACTGCAGGATTAAGAAATCTTACACAATGATTATGGTATCTTGGACTTTTACAGGAATTATTTACATCAGATACTATCAAGTGTACTTTATTTACTGCAGTTGAAGACTGTTAATAAAGTATGTTGTAGAAGTATGCAGGTGTGTAGTATATATACAAAAGAGTACAATCTGCATGGCATGAGAAAGTAAAGGATCTATCAGGTGCACATATCTGAGATGTATACTTGTTGTAACTACAGAAATGATGGAGAAAAAAAAACAGAAACAGTGAAACAATGGAAAATATAGAAACTAAGAAAAAGAGGAAATTAAATGAAAAAATAGAAATGATCAAAATATGAAACAATATAAATAATTCAAAAATGAAATAAGTGAAATTAAAATATGAAAAATATAGAAACTCAAAATTGAATAAAGGAAGTTACACTTAATAAATCTGGAAATAATCAAAATATGAAACAAATGAAATGGAAAATATAAAAAATATGAAAATATGAATATAGAAACTGTCAAAAAAGGGGGTGTGTAGCATACTAATCCAGCATTAAGCAAATCTACAGTCATGTTAGGCAAGGCAAGGCAAGGCAAGGCAAGGCAAGTTTATTTATATAGCACATTTCATACACAATGGCAATTCAAAGTGCTTTACATAGAAGAAATTAAAATAATCAAAACAAATAAGAATAATTAAAACAGTTTAGAATAAAAAATAAAATAAAGTAATACTGGTCCACCCCTATCTGAGATGGAAGAGATTGAGCCGGTTTACGGTGCCACTGGACCTCTAGCCCAGGGAAAACTGATTGGTTAAAGCAATCCTGAGTTAGAAATACTCTTGTGAGTAGGTTTTGTCTGGCCATTGATTTAATGGGCAGTAGCACATAAGAGGATTGTGGGCAGGAAGTGAATTAGGGAAATAGAAAGGGAATCTTAAAGCTTCCTCGTCATTTTAAAGAATAAGGATGTGGATTTTTAGTTTTCTGCATTTAAGTGGAAAGTATTTTTCAGAACTGACAAAAATGCTACAAAGTATGAGATAAATGTGACAATGAATGTTAAAAATGACTGCTCTGCTTCTGTTTTTCTTTCCAGTCTTCATCTGCAGTTTCATGGTGGCCGCACCCATTTTCGGTTACCTGGGGGACCGTTTCAACAGAAAGATCATTCTGAGCAGTGGAATTTTCTTCTGGTCCTTTGTGACACTGCTAAGCTCCTTTATTACCAAAGATGTAAGTGCCATACTCTCTTCCTCCTCTACAAACAGCAGCCTAAACCTTCAAACCCGTCTCTGCCCAGAACCTCTTAAAGGAACCATATTGTCATGATTATCATTCTAGAAGAATCTTTCAAATATAAATGTAGCTTGTTTTTGTTTAGAAAGTCTTGTTTCTTGCAGCGCTAGTTGGGTATTTTTAGCAACCCAGCCCAGCATCTCTAAAGCTCATTCAGTTTCTGGCTCATTTAAGAGCGCTTTGAAATGACACTCGAGTCATTCAACATAGCAGGACTCATTTTATATAGAAAAAAAAATCTCAGTGTACTTTATTACACTCTCTCTCTCTCTCTCTCTCTCTCTCTCTCTCTCTCTCTCTCTCTCTCTCTCTCTCTCTCTCTCTCTCTCTCTCTCTCTCTCTCTCTCTCTCTCTCTCTCTCTCTCTCTCTCTCTCTCCTTTTTCTTTTTCTATTTTGCCAAGATGAAATGATTAGATGACATGCTCACTTAGCATAACACTAAGCCGGTCTCAGAAGACCTCTTGTTATAACTCTACTACTGTTTGTCATCCTCCTTGTCTTCTGTATCTTACTCCCTGTTTCATCCAGCCCTCACTCACTCGCTCATGTCATTAAGAGATCACTGTTGTTAGCCAATCACGTTAGAAAGTCGCAAAAAACACTAAACTAATTGTCCAACAATAATCAAAAGCCCCATATCTTTTCTATTTGTTTGTGAGAATTATTTATATATATATATTTATATATACTGTATATATAAAACATTTTAACTGTATACATGTACATATACTTATTTATCCCTTAAAATATATTTTCCATTGCCATATTTGTTACAATTTCTTTTAGCCATTGACCTATATTTGGTGCACAAATACTTTTAAAATTTTAGAAAAATAAGCTGTTTTGCTTGAATAATACATATATTTATAAATATATACTCTTTATTTTTTTAACTTGATCTCCTTAGGATATAAATGAAATAAAAAAGTAAAGGTGACAGTGGAATGTTAACTATCATTTCTTTCACACTTTTCCAAAAATTCTTGACTTCTTCACACTCCCATATGCAATGATGTAGTGCACCTTTAAACTCACTGCATCGAAAGTGTCAGGGACATTTTCATTATATTCATGCAATATATCTAGATAAAAGGTATAAAAACACAAAAAAACATGCTGTTTGGGTGAATTTAAATGAGAAATATCTAATATCTCAGCATCTGTTAAAGGTTTTTTTTTTTTTTTTTTTTTTTTTTTAAGTCATCTCGAGGCCATGGGCCTGGGCCCCACCTGAGAACCACTGATCAAAGTTACAAAAAAAATAAAAAAAAATAAAAACCTTTTGCATTGATGGTTAAGATTAGATGATGACAGATGCACTTGTTTATTAAATAACAGTGTCAATTGCTAAAAGACTCTAATGTTACAGAAGTCTTCATCTTTGTCTTCATTTATCTTTTACTTTAGCCACTGTCACTTATTACAAGACCAGAAAAGGGGTTTGACTTTGGTCATTCATTTATACAGACAGTATTTGAGCTGCTTCTTTAAGCTTTGCATGAACAGTATAATTCGAGAGTGACATCTGTTAGTAAGTACAGTCGTCAAACCCTGACTATGACTGTAACCTAATTCTCACTGTAAATATAGTCATGTATTGGTGCTTGTGTTAAACATAAAAGTCTTCGTACACAATAAACTATGTTGAGAGGAACTGAGATAACAGTAAAGCAAAACTAAGAACAGCAGTCAAAAAAACGTGACAATTTAATTGATGCTTATTGTCTATAATCTCTCATAGACCATCTCAATCAAATGATGTGTGTGTGTGGCCAGTCTCCAGGGAGGTTATTACAACAGAGACAGATAGTGGCAGCTAATTATCAGGCCATGTTAATAAGAGGAAGACTGTAAAATGACAACGGAGGAATGTTCCCTGTGGCTACATTAACTGATTTTAGTGATATCTAGTGACTTAGTGATGGTTCGTGTGCGGTTTGGTTCCCTTTAGCCAGTCAGACAGTGTGAGGACTGCATGTACATATAGAAGATGTGTGTGTGTGTGTGTGTGTGTGTGTGTGCCACGGGGGGTATAAATGCGCTAATCCCCTCGATCTGCATTGCTGAGTTGATACTGACAGGACGAGCCAGTCTGCATCAATGTCACATGGTCCTCCAAGACCGCACACACATGCACATATGCATACATGAGCGTGAGGACTGCAGATATCCCTCTATCAGTCAATCATCCAACCCACAGCGGTGGGCTGTTAGATAACGCTCTCCGCCGACAGAAGTAAGCAGATCATCTCGTATTTACACACAGGCTCATCATCACCATCACGTTAATGTTACTCCGCAACATTGCTGCAAGGTCTGCATTACATTATTCATAACGAGCTGAGTGGTGTGTTTTATAAGAATAGACTGAAATTAGAAAAAATACTATTACGCCAAGAAATCATCTTATCAGAATGTAAATATGTTCTCGTGTATTAGTTTGGCTTAAAGACGCCCAGCACTGATACTGGGAAGAAAATATCTACTAAATCTGTCTATGGCTTAAATTGACCACAAGACCTCTTGCTGATCTGTTCCACGTCCAAAATCCCTCGTAACTCGATGTTCAGCTTCATTTAACGAGATTTCTAAGGGCTTTGGGAAGAGACAGTCAATTCACTGCACTGTGTTGCTGCAACAAGACTGCAGTTTTTTGTTGCACATAAAAATCGTGATGTAGTAAAAAAAAAACAGAATTAGAGAATTTAAGTCGCAATTAAAAGAGAGAATTTAAGATATCTGATTCCCATGCAAATTCCCATGAACACATTTAACATAATTGTGTCGCTTTTGTCTGATGACAAGAAAACAAAATCAGGGGGTGTCAGCGGTGGTGGTTTTTAGTTAGATATGCACATATTCATACAGAATGTATTTGAATGCTCATGTTTATGTATGTTTTTGAGGGATTGAGTGGAGTCTGACGTGTACAGTCAGTCCTACAGTACAGCAAACTCATGAATTGGTTGTGGACTGGAACAAAAATAACAAGGCAGATGCGTCAACTTTGCTTTTCAACCTTGGGGTTTTAACCACTCAACCACAAGCTCAAATAAAAACGGAAGTATGAGTGTGAAAAAAAATAAAAATCCTTACAAAGAAAGTAATACCTAAACATGTACAATTACATTTGCATCCAGTCTGTCAACACAAAAAGCAAAAACGTCAAGAATCAAGATTCAAAAAGGTCTCAGGATCAAATTCACTCAACTTTGGCAAGCAATCAAGTTGAACCAGACTGTGAATATCTAAATTAAGTCATTAAAGGAGACAGACACCGTCTTCTATGCAAATTATGCTCATTATTATAGATTTACTCATTTTATATTTTTAATTATTATTAATATTTTCCAGACATATAGAAATATGAATAATGTGTTTTTGCTTCTGTACTTTGACAACAGTTATTTGTTTTAACAACATTTGTAATACTTATAATACTTTAGAATACCACATTCTAGGTATAAATATATCTTAATTTACACACACACACACACACACACACACACTGCTCTGACACTGTAGGCGTGTGTGATTGACAGGGCAATGGGGGGGTTCAGAGACCACCAGCTTTAAGTCCCTCCCTCCACCTTACTATAAATCTTCTCACACTGGATGACATAAGTGTGTGCGTCACTTTAAATAACCACTCTCCAGACGTATGTATGTTCAGCAAATGACAGCACAAGCATTAATCTTTCATGTGTGTGTGTGTGTGTGTGTGTGTGTGAGAGAGAGAGAGAGTGTGTGTGGTGAAAGGAGGAAAGGTTGTGAAACAAACAAACAACCAACCAGTCGTCCACTCTCCCTCTCCACCATCCCTCTATTCTCTTTTTCCCTCACAGCACTTCTGTCAATAAACAACTAGCCCACAGCTTTTGTCATTTTAGAGCAGAGTCATGAAAAGCAGGAAAGGAGCTGAGCGAGAAAGGGGGAGGGAGGGATAGAGAAATCCTCTCAGTGCCAGAGGATAACCCAGCTTGCTGCAGTCTCTCATTGCTGATTCCTGTCACGTACACTAAAGAAATTCCCCCGCTGAGAATTGTGTAACATTCAACAACAAGTAAAGTTGTTTTTCTTTTGGCTGTATGTCGTGGGGTTGCTGTCACACCAAAGACTGTTAGGTGGAAAAGAAAAAGGATGAAAAGCAGGAAAATGAGTGAGGGATTCCCAGTAATGAAAAGTGACCATCGGATGACCGAAGGACATGAGGTTTTCTGCCTCTGTTTTGAGAGCAAGGGATGAATTATACTTACAGTCTTGAATTATCAGACATGTTTATCCGAAGTTCAATGAGATAAAAAACAAGCTAAAGATAAATTGCTAATGTAGAACAATGAAATAATAACAATATAATACACATTCAAATTGATATATTCATACTAACATTCAATAATATATTTTATATACTATTTAATATAAATAAACTGTTTATTTATTTTATTTTTAATTTTATTTATTTAGTAAATAAACCTTCTATTTATCGAGGAATCCTAAAAAAAAATAAAACGTTTCCACACAAATATTTAGCAGCGCAACTGTTTACAACATTGACAATTAGAAATGTTTCTTGAGCACCAAATCAGCATATATTAGAATGATTTCTGAAGGATCATGTGACACTGAAGACTGGAGTTACAAATTAAATGCTTTATTATATTAAATATATTATTGAATGTTAGTATGAATATATAAATTTGAATGTGTATTTTATATATTTTTAATGTGTAAAGGACCATATACATATATAACTATAGCAATATGTGCTCAAGCACACACACACACACACACACACACACACACACAAACATTAACATTTACAGGAAGCTTGTTAGTACACAAAAGTCTGCTACAACAGCATCTGGCTGGTCAGGTGGCTTTGTGAGCCCCCTCAGGAGATGGAAGTCTGCGATGACAGATCTGTATATGTGTGTGTGCTGCATATGCACATCATATCATAATGGGATGACCTGCTGTCTCTAGAGAGTGTCCATGTTTGCTGCTTTCATTTTCTTTCACTCCATCAGTGTTGGGTGTGGCTAGACTCCCCACTGCTGCCAGACTGAGACCACCGGTGACAATAAAAATGAAATATTATTAAGGAGAGTGAGACTCACGGAAAAAGAGGTCAAACCGTAAAGAGGAATTGACTGTGAGCACAAGCAACAGAGAAATCTATAACTAGCTTCCTCAGTTGGTCGACTGCCAGGGTGACCCAAATTCTCCACAGCAGTATAGCTGTCCATTACACACCCACAGTTAATGTCTACACATAAACGACTATTATATACAATGAGTCTAGGCCATTTCAGGGAAGGGTGGTTCCTTAGTCTGGCTTCCTTCCTAGCCGATAGAGGTCAGAGGACAACGGCCACATGTTCCCACTGTTTCAGAAATGTAGGACACTTGCTCCTTTTTGATAATGAATGTTGAACGTCTAAAGAGCCACACATACCTGAACACATGCAGTCTCAATGTCAATCAACAGATTTATGAAAACGTTTCAGGTCTCAATGATCTGTCAATCCTTAGATGCAGGATATACCATTCATTTCTTCCCGATAGTTAACTGTAAGGTGACTTAAATAGCTAAAAGAAAAGAGCTTCACAATGACCCTGCAAATCATGAGAAAAATAAGAGACATATTAGTTTTTAGATATGCGCCAACTGAATAGTATATATAAGAAATGCCTTCAACTTTTCTGATCATATGACCTTTTCTTTTGCAGTATTATTGGTTGTTAGTGCTGTCCAGATGTTTGGTGGGAATTGGTGAATCGAGCTACTCATCCATCTCTCCAACCATCATTGGAGACCTGTTCACAAACAACAGAAGGACCATGATGCTCTCTGTCTTCTACCTGGCCATCCCACTAGGAAGGTGAGTGCCAAATTTGAGCAATACCATTTTCTTTTCAATCCATACATCTATAAAATGAGTAAACCCCTAGAAATATCATTTCATTTTGTTTAATTTATTTGCAGATGTTCAGATGTTCATTAGAGATGGTTTTACAATAGCACTTTAGCACTAAGATAATACTGTACAACCAGATAATATTATTGCCATTATAAGAATTGTAATGTAGTATATTTAGACATTTGAAGTCAGGTTAGGTGAACTGTGGCTGAAAGGAACAGCTTCTGACAGCCAGATAATCTCAGATACCATCTCAACTCAGTAAAGGTCGGTTGTGGAGAATTGAGCTCAGCGTTTTGTGTGGTCACCGCCTCAGATGGGCCAAATAGACAATGATATTCTAAATCTGTTTGCTGCTGTGAAAGACTTTAAGCTCATCTATTTCGGTCACTTAACCCAGGCCGTGGCATTTTCTTTTTGTTCACTGAGGTGGAAAAAGACTGGAGAGAAAAGGGGGAAAACAACAGAGGAAAGATGATAAATGCATGCATGTATGTGCATAGCATTTTTAGCTGCATTGTGTTTACAGCATCTTGGAATTCAATTGTTAATCTGATGGGGAGAAAAACAACAACCAAACTAATCTGAGTTTTGACCATGCAGTTGTATAACAACACTGAGTGTGATACACCCCCATTGAACCGAGGAAAATAAATATCTGAACACAGCAGCTGTCGCCATCAGACCTGTTCTGAGGGCTAGTAATAGTATCGATGAGAGGTTGAGTGCAGTTAGAGGAAAGGACGGGATGGAAAAATAGCAGACCCAGGAGAGTTTTGGTATTTGCGAGCTAACTGGGTTCGGCCTTAACAAAGCGATCGACAGTACGAACAATAAGAGGTGAAAGACTGGAGCGCTGCAGTGTGCCGCCTCACTTCCTGTCTAGCGCCCTGTTTATCTACAGTCAGGTTGTTACTGTTTCCAGGAAGTGACTTCAGCCATGAGAGAAAGGTTTGGCAGGAAATTTTAGTCCTCTTATGGGCATGGAAAAATATTTTAGTTGCTAATAAACATAGAGAAACAGAGTAATAACGACAACTTGTGTTATACAAATACGTACAGACATATAAAAATGGTAGCACCACATCACAAATGCTTGAAATTAATATCCAAAAACTCTCATCCAATCAAGAACATCAATAAGGTACCAAGTGGCCATATTCCATGAATACACAGGTATGCATAGGCTTAATTAAGGTGTTCTTGACATTGAATGAGGTCCAGAGGTTACTGTGGGCTCATGTTGAGAGCCATATGTTCTCGATGATAAGGTCCTATTGTTTGATGGGTCAGGTCAGGTTGGTCCATCAGTCGGATATGCCAGGGGCAGTTAAAGGTAAACAATGTAGTTTACCTGCTGTGCGACAGCCTGGCGCTAGTGTCTGGGAACACAGGAAGTGTCCGTGAGGTTTTAGATTGTGGGAGGGACGCTCCAAATTTAAAGAGAAGGATTAAAATGGTGCAGTTATGCCAGGGCCTGATGTACAAAAAAAACAAAAAAACAATCCCCAAATACAGGAGACTACATTTTCAAACCACTCTATATAGTATTGCTTAAGTAAATGTACAATACCTTTCAAAAGTTTGGGGTCGGCAAGATTTTTAATTTTTAATGTTTTTTTTAATTAAAGAAGTCACTGATGGTCACCAAGGCTGCATTTATTTGATCAAAATATAGTAATATTATGAAAATAATTTGTATTGAATTAGAAAAATGTAAAAAAAGAAAAAAATTGAATGTTCTGATGTTCTGAAAGAATGTTGTGAAATTAATTATAATATGTGTTTATTCATGCTAAACTTAAACAAAATATAAATTCAGTTTACTTCTTGTTTCTGTGGCTTCCACATGCATTTACTAGTGCACTACTGTCAAAATTGTAAGTATACCATAAATACCTGAAAAATTGGTGTTTAAATAGGTGTAATAGTACCTTAAAACAGCAAAAACTTTTCTTTTCACTCCCTGTTGAGTGCGATTGAGGGTTGGTAACAGGTGTAAAAACTTGCAGGAGACAGACAGAGAGAGTGACTGAGAATGAGAATAATAATGAATCTGATGCTGAAAATATGGAGGAATACTTTCGACCTGAAATTGAGAACTGATGGAAAGAAAAACTGCGAGACACCCAATCAACTTTTTTTAAACAGACTATGACCAAGAGGAGAAAATTCATTCAACGGCCAATGACAGGCAGCACAGTCTCAAACCAGATAATCAGCATACAGATATAGTATACAGAGAGAATAGTTTACATGTGCTTCAGCCACACCGAGATCATAACAGGGCAATTATGAACTTTATCAGACTGTAAACAGGATGTAGAGCTAGGAGAGTTTGGTCTGCGTCTGAAGAGATATGACTCACAGATTCCTCAGATACCGACAGGGTTGAAATGATCCCACCTTGAGTGCTCGTCTTCCTCCTTTCCTTATATCACTCATGTCAGGCAGTCTTGCCTTAGAAGAACTTAAAGGAAAGTTCATGAGACACATGCCATATCCTACAGCATCAGACAGGGATTCTCAGAATTAGGTCATCTGAACCTTTGATGTTAGTATTTCACCACAGTCCCCAAATCCATCCAAAACCCAAAGCGACAGTGCGGGAAGCTGGTCTCTCTCCGAAGTCATCTCTCTTTCTCTTTCCCTCGGAGCTGATCTGTCATCATAAGCCCCTGAGTAATGCTAAGTGGTTGACTCTCTTATATTGCCAGAGGTGATGTTCAGAGTAAAGCCATTATAAGCGGCATTAGTATGCATGCTGAGTTCAGGCAGCCTAGCCAACGCATGAAAGTTTTAGGGTGCATGACACAGCTTTGGGTGGGAAAAACAGCCGGGGAGAGAAGAGAAAGACTGCAAAGAAAGTGAGAGGGACCAAGTGAATGAGACAGGCACATGGCAAAATAGCTTATAAAAAAAAAACGTATTAAACCACCCTAAGCTGGTCAGGCTGGTCTGGTTTGCTGGTTTTGGACATTGACCATCTACACTAATTGAAAACCAGTTTGGGCTTGCTGCTAGATCAGCTAGTCCAGTTTAAGACAATCTTGGGCAGGATGGAAGACCAGCTAGAGTAGCTTAGACCAGTGTTATTAAACTGGGAAAAAGATTAGGCTGAGAAATATACATTTATACATAAACATTTTAATTTCACCAGTTAGCACATTCATTTTGGATGCCCTAATATACTAAAACTTAAAAACTAGAACTCAAATTGAAAAACTAAATAAAAAAATAACTAACAATTATTACAATACAAACTATATTAAAATTTAAAACTAAAACTGGCTCAGTCCAGCTTAAATCAGCTTAGACCAGCAAACCAGCTGGAGAGCGGAAGTTTATGCCTAGAATATGATACGTTTGTTTGTGTATAATGACATGTTTTGCTCTCTCTCCGCAGCGGTCTTGGATACATCCTGGGATCCATTGCTAAAGACGCTGGAGGGGATTGGTACTGGGCACTGAGGGTAAGAGCTGTTGAAATGTTTCCTTGTGTTGTATCAATATTTTAGAGGAAGCACGCCCAACCTCCACAAATATACACCATTTCCTCTCGGCCTGGTCAAAAATATCCCTAAAACCCATGGCAGACAGGTGAATCCTGAAATACCTTCAGCCCGTCTCTTGAAAAAGCAACATAACATTCTTGCCCCCTTGAAGCCAGTGCAATGGGCACTGACAACCCAGCTAGCTCAAGTGCATTAATATAGCATTACCTCCAGCTCTCTCGGGTCCGCTCATACACGCTATCCGTGAGTAATGCAGTCTTCACAGTCTTTGTACTGCATAGGCCCAGGAGAAGAGGGGGCTCACTTACACAGACCCTTTTGTTGTAGGATATTCCTCAGTAGCCTTGATGTATTGCAATTTGCACTGCTAATACCAAAAGCCCAAAATCGAGCACCTTTTAATGCAGCTCAAATGACTAATTTATGAAATGATTGAGTGAGAGGAAGGGTAGTGGTCTGCAACTTTTGGGCAGCAAAAGAGAGAGAGAGAGCAAAAACAACTTTTCTGAGAAAGTGAGAGGCCTCTGAAGTGCTTTAGATTCCTGTCTTTCTTCCTTCATTAGCTCAGCGCAGTTTTATAACCAACTGCTTCTCTCGTTCAGTTCAAACTTTAACAGGTGGATGCTCAAGTTAGCAGGTGGGCTTCATTACTTGTTCCTTTCTCGGGGTCATAAAGAATCGACCGAGGGTTTTATCGTGAACTTGAATTAAACTTGTTGTATGGCTGCCTCTTAAAACTCCAGCGTGGTTCTGTTGTCGAGCTCTTAGGCCTGAAAGGAGACTTTAAGAGGAGCATTAAACCCTCTCATTCTTACAAAAACACCTCTGAACATGACAGTTATATGACCCTCAGGAACATAAATGGCTTTATTTGGTAGCTAGTTTATCGGAACGCTTTTGCAAACAGTAGCAGAGCTCCATTGTTTGAGCTCTTGGATGCAGTAAAACATTCCTTGAGGAGACAAAGCTCATGGTTTGGGGGACTATTAATCATCACTAGCACTTTAAATGAGTATAAAAACAACAGACAGATGAAAAGGGACTCCATATCGGCCATATCCTGCCCTGACAGGGGAAAAAACACTCCGTGCCACTTTCCGCTTGTTTTGCAGGCCCCTAAAGAACTCAATCGCCTTCCGTTCTCGAAGAGGGAGTGTGTTTTTTTGGAGTGGAGGATTATATCATAATTATTGAGAGCCATATCAATCTTCTGCAGGTCGAAGTGGGGAAATGCCAGGAGAAATAGCTCCTTGATCTCTCTTTCTTTGATTACACTCGGCCCAACTCTAACCTTGACAAGCACGAAAGAAGCTGCGCTAGCTTGAGATTAGCAGGAAAGGGCAACATCTGACAAAGTGCGAGACAAGAGTCAAAGTTCAAGATGACTGATCAACGCAGGCTTTGATATTAAACTAAACCAGAGAGGCAGGGAGGGATCTCCACAGTGTGACTGTTAGAAAATAGGTCCACTGCAAAGACCTTTTTTACGGCTGCTGGGTTTTCTAGTTACAGAGGGATAACAAGACCAAATCCAGGCTTTAGCGAGACACTGCAGCTCTGTATCAAAAGCACCGCAGTGCACACAGACACACATTCAGTCCACAGAATCACAGTATAGTGCAGGAAACAGCAGCATGTCAATGGGATGCAGTGATCTGTTTCACTCTCAGGCTATTTATAATGCTGAACACTACAAAAATAAAACATTCACAAATTTGTATAAATGTTTATAGATAATAATAAATATTTCTTATAATTATTCTCCAATATATTCTCAAACTTGTATTTGTAGAATGTCTCTTGAATTAAGTTATATTGCATATAATGTTGAAAACAGCTGTGCTGCTGAAAATATTTGTGGAAACCATGATACATTTTTTTCAGGATTCTTTAATGAACAGAAAGTTGAAAGGTACTGCATTTATTTGAAGCTCTGAAAAAAATCTTATAGACTACAAACTTTTAAACAGTAGTTTATAATTATTAAGATAGATTCAAGATTATATGTTCTTAATTTTGCTTATTCAATTGAATCTTGTTTTAATTTAATTTCTCTACCTGAAAATAAGACAAACAAACAGATCAGGAACTTTTTTGCAGTGCCGATGACTAAATCTTTACAAGAACTATATACATACCCATAAGACACAATTATGAGCAGAGCTTTGCTTTAATGTGCTATAAATGATCTCCAGGAGGATTGCGTCTGACAGACAGAATTGCTTTGGCTTTCACAAGCGACGGAGGCGCTTACGCTGCTTCCATGTGGGCGAGCGAACCAACAAACACACACACACACACACACACACACACACACATACTGCTGTGCTGTAGCCATCAGGAAGGATGATAAAAGAGATAATAGCTCATGGCCTGGTGGACCGCAGCTGCTCCCACACAAGGGAGAAAACTGAGAAAGAAAACGAGAGGATGGAGTAAAGAAACATCACCTAATAGAGTCCACTTCACACTGCAGTCTAGTACCTTGCCGGCACTACACACCCTAATGTGAATATAAATAAAACTAATCACAAAATACATAACACCACCATTATCGACTCAGCGAATAACTTGCTAGACCAAACAGGATGTGAGACAGTTTTTTATTGTTCAGCCCACAAGATTTTGTTTAACAGAGAGCACAGACTCACAGTAATACAAGCAAAAAATGTTTAGTCTAGTTAAGAGCACTGCACTTAAAAAAAATTAAGCAGCATTTTTGCTTTTTCCGAGTAAAAACATCTTCAATTTGAGTAAGAAAGCTTATATAAGATAATAAGACTTGATTTTTTTAGATTTATTCTTTAAAGAAAATGACAAATGGAGTAGAAAAAAAACCCAACATAATTGTTATTATAATAATTGGTATGTTATTACCGGAAAATGTCATAAAATAGTAAGTAATTTGCTTCTCTATTACATATCTATTGTTTTAAGCATGTTTAGATATTGTTCTGGAAAACAAGGCAATGTTAAACTCTGCAATATCATCTTTTTTTCTTCTGTCTCAAGGTTTCTCCAATGTTAGGTTTGACTGCTGGGTTCCTCATCCTCATCTTTATCCCTGAGCCGAAGAGAGGGAGTGCTGACCAGCTCACTGGACGGATAAAGACACGCACTTCCTGGCTCTGTGACATGAAAGCTCTTGCCAAAAAGTATGCCACTTTTTTTCCTATCCATCCCTCAAGAATGAAATGAACTTAATATTTAGGATTGGGTCGTACCAGATGCAATCATTAAATCAACCATTGAGTGAATATTGGACCCTCAATGTCTATTTTTACAGTCCTGCCTTCACCTGAACATGGTGACAGTTTATTGGAGTAGCTGGCATAGAATTTCAAGGGCCAAGTAGTCTCTGCTTATCCTGTGGTGTGACAACTCTAATTCAACTACATTTTAATTATATTCTATAATTTTAATTGATTGTATTTTTAAACACTGAGATTTTCCATTTATGAAATATTTACACAATATCTATTATCATCAATAACATGACCTAATTGTATATATTATATACGCATGTATTATTGCATGTATTTTTCACACCACTATACCAACCATCTTTGTTGTGGCTAAACTGACATCAAATGAATGTAGGCAATGGCCATATTATATGTCAACTACCCATATCACATTGGTTAACGTGATTTCACCAAGTAGAACATTTTACTAGATCAACATCGTTGTTGATCCTGGAACAACATTTCAATCAACCAATCAGATTTGAGGGATAGTTTTGTAGTTAATGTCAAGTTTACAATAAGGGTTAGGGGCTTTTACACTATTCTTATTCACCTATATTTTTCTACTGATTTTAGGGATAACTTATGGGTAGGGTTAGGTTTAGGGGTTGGGATAGGGTTAGGACTATGTTTTTGGACAGCAATGTTGTTCCAGGATCAACAATAGATGCTGATCCAGGAACATGTCTTACTTGGCAAAATCACAGCAACCACATACATTATGTCAGAAAGACATAAAGAGCAAAAATAACAGAAAAACAGGAAAGCCAAAAATGTCTGAATGAAAACTCAAGAATTATGCATGTTAATTCCTTTTCTTTCTGTTCCCTAGCCGTAGTTATGTATTCTCTTCTCTGGCATCGGCCGCAGTGTCATTTGCCACGGGGGCGTTTGGGATCTGGATCCCGCAGTACCTAGTCAGAGCTCAGGTGGTGCAGAAGACAGCAGTGAGCTGCACCTATCAACCCTGCAGCAGTAAAGACAGGTCAGAACACACACACACTCCGCTTGAAACCTAACGGTCAATCACAAGCGTTACAGTTTTGACAACTACTATGTTTCTCTCTCATCTCCAGTTTGATATTTGGGGCCATCACCTGCGTGACTGGGCTGTTGGGAGTAGTGATCGGCGCTGTGACCACACGGCTCTGTCGTCAGAAGACGGAGCGTGCTGACCCGCTGGTGTGTGCGGTCAGCATGTTGGGCTCTGCTATCTTCATCTGCCTAATCTTTGTTGTGGCCAAGAAAAGCATTGTGGGAGCATATGTAAGTAACTCTACTTTGTTTAGTCTCAGCTTACTTCACAGGTCTACACTGTAAAAATGGACTTTTTAATTAGTTATAAATTAGTCTTTTGGATTTGTTTTCCAGTAAAACATGTGTGTGTGTACTTGAAAAACAACAGAATAGAATAGAATAGAATAGAATAGAATAGAATAGAATAGAATAGAATAGAATAGAATAGAATAGAATAGAAACAAAACTCTATTTGGCTTCTCCACTCATAATCAATCAATCAATAAATAATACAATTATTCTAAGATATTAAGATTAAGACTAAGATTAAAAATAATATTAATACTCATTACATTCACTAAGGTGAATTCAGGGTGATTGGGACACATTTTGCAATTGAGATGACTTGGAAAAAGTGTCTCAACTCAATCAACCTGAATTCACGCCTATATGATGAATTACACTTGATCTATTGTTGCAATATTATGACACTTCACGTAAATAGCTCATATTATATTGGTTGCCATAGAATTGTGGTGTAAAGACTGAGATTGTCTCCTGAATTGCTTCTTAACACGGTGGCCTGAATATCTCTAGTACAGCTCCCTTCTGACTATCCTTGTATTACAATGAGTACTTTCAGTCAAAGTCAAATAAGGTCACATCTATTCAGAGTTCAATATAAGGCTTTAAACGATATAAAGTCTGTTGCATTCAGTGGGTTTAACAGCCATAGTTGCTTGGCAGGGTTGTTAGGTTCAAACCCAATACTAAAAGAATAAGAGCAACAGGCACTGCGTACTTATTTAATTGGCATGTAAAGCAGGAAAAGGGAGCAGTTTTCACAGTTACGGCTAAGAAACAATAGACTGTGGCATTTGTGAGTCACTAATGGAGAAAGAGTTATGCTGCATTAGAAAACAAAGAAAAAAATTCTACCAGGTCATACTTGTTCTTCTAACAAAAAACAATCAGGTCAGAACAAAATGCTGGATGCTCCCTGAAGGGCCAAACCAGACTGGGAATCTCATAAGTGTTTATGATGAGAAGTCTGATGAGAAAGTATTTTTAGGGACTGCTTGTCTTTCCCATGGACAAAAGAACCTAGTACACCATGATAACGCCATCTCTCTGGTGTTATGTTTGAGAAACTCTAAGCTTGCTCAACGTTTGCCACCTTATCTTAACTATGAAAGACTCACTAACTGTACCCTCAACCGACCTGGTTTTGCAACCACTTGTTCCTTTGTTAAAAGTTGTGATGACTTTAAGGACTATAAAAGCAAACGGTATGACCTGGGGTCTCATGGACTCATACCAATCTTGAGTTGGATCTTGATCTATAAGTCTATAAGACAAGAACAACAATTTATAGAATAAAATATAACTAAAATCCAATTAAAAATGTACACTGCCGTTCAAAAGTTTGGGTTCAGTACGTTTAAAAAAGAAGAAGAAATTAATACTTTTATTCAGCAATGATGTATTAAATTGATCAAAAGTGACAGTAAACGTATTTATAATGTTTAAAAAGATTTCTATTTCAAATAATCCCTGTACTTTATATTAATCAAAGAATCATCAATCCTCCTTTAATTAAGCAGCAAAACTGTTAATAATAATACTGTCAACATTGATAATAATAATAAATGTTTATTGAGCAGCAAATCATCATATAAGAATGATATCTGAAGGATCATGTGACACTGAAGAAAAATTAAATTTTAAAATATATTTAATCAGAAACCTTTTTTTAAAATGTGATATTTCACAATATTACTGTTTTTACTGTATTTTTTTAATCAAATAAATACAGTCTTGTCGAGCAATCTTACCGACCCTAAACTTTTGAACAGTAGTGTATATTGTCATTTCAAAATATATTAGTTGTATCACTAAACTCTTAGAAAACAGAAACTTTTTATTATTTAAAATTCAAATGGAATATCACTGTAATTGGAAAATGTGAAAATGGAAAAGTGTATTTCTGTCAGTCTAGCTGAGATTTATATTTATAGAAATGAATGACACATCATTTAGACCACAGGCCCTCAAGCCATCTTGTCAAACAGGTAACATGACAGTGGCAGCCAGCACCCCATGTAAAGACATGAGCACCCCTTCAATCACCTGCCACAAGGCTTCTGTAATTACATCCAAATGTAGCATACGAAAAACAAGGAATCCAAAACTTTAAGGAGGGAAAATATCTGGAGTGAGAAAATTTGATAGTGACAGATGTGCAGTCTGAGAATGTGACAGCACGCTGGAGCTCTGTCAGGGTCTGTTCCAGCAGGGACAGCTGCTGTCTCATCAGCACGTTGGCTGATCACAATTCAGTCCTGAACCAGAGTCCTGCAGGGCTTTACAGTTTTAGCCTGTCTGTCCGTCACGCTGTCTGAGCCTCAAGTCACTTCGGGACAGAGTTTCATACATGTCCAAACATGCGCACACTTTCATGCTTTCATTTCCTCACCTTCTATTCAGATATTCTCTCACACTGACATCTAAATGGAAGGTTCTAGACCCACAAACTAAAAAAAATGACACCCTGAGGTCATCTCTCTGTCAGCCCTGCTCAACATATCTCTGAGACCAACACAAGATCCTGTCAAAATCAGAACAGCCACTTGAATGATCAAACTCCCTTGCAACCCACAGTTCTCCACACAATCCTGTCTGGTTTGACCCCGGCAGCTGCCGTCAGTCGTATTCTGGCCTCAGAGTTGTGGAGAGACCATCTACACTCTGTCAAGTCGCTAAGATTAGTGGAGATATTCAATGCTCAGTCTGCCATAAGCACCTTGGAAATCCAGACTAGGCACTGTGGGATATCAGTTAATTTATGTGGGAATGCTTAAATCAGTTAGTCTGTTCTCATGGGATTGCACAAATCTGTTGTGATAACTTGTTAAATGTGACACGGTTTCAGCCGCCAGACATTTTGAGTTCCACTCTAGTTTAATGCTAACCGCTTGTCTCTTTTTTACGGTTTGGAGCACAACATGGTCCTGTTGCCCTCAAATCAAAAATGACATGTAACCACAGTGTAATGACATGTTTTCATATTCCACAACATTTAGTAGTTTTTCTTTTATTTAGTATATGAGCCGGGTTAATTTAGTCTTTGACCAAATGCAAACGCTGGTGTGTGTGTGCGTGTAGATGGTAGAGTAACTTTTCATTTTAAAGAATGAAATATAATTGACCTTTCCTTTTCTATTTTTCCCCCCTCGCTCTCTTTTTCTCCTCAGATCTGCATTTTCATCGGAGAGACGCTGCTCTTTTTGAACTGGGCCATTACAGCGGACATTTTAATGGTTTGTATTGAAAGCCTGTATTTATCTGCTGGGTCGAGTGGAAACTTTAAAGCCTTTAACTGTAAGAAAATTGTCATCTTCTCGGGCTAGTTTCTTATTTTGAATGGTGGGCTGCATGACTACGAGGTTTGGTATAGCCTGGGTGGGGCCCAAGACAAAATTGCTGCTTTTGATTGCACTTAATGGAAATGCCACTCATGGAAAATAAAACGGAATAACATTTTCAGTTTGGATGTTTTTGTGTGAAGGAAGTTAGTGAGTTAGAGAAGAGAGGAGCTGTAAACAGAGTGCATGTAAGGTAGATTTAGAGATTTAGCAAGAAAAGCTGTCATGAGTCAGCTACGGTCTTACTGCATACTTAAACTCCAGTCAGCCTAGGTCAGTGTAAAGCGCTCTGACAGTGTCTGTTTAAGTGAGCACTCATGGTACTTTTGTTTTCCTGTTTTGTTTTCATGTGATTCTCACTGCTGTTTTCCTATCACCTCTTTTCTTTCTCCAGTATGTTGTCATACCGACCAGAAGAGCCACTGCTGTTGCCTTCCAGGGTTTCACGTCACATTTACTAGGGGATGCTGGGAGCCCGTACCTCATTGGCCTGGTAAGGATGTCTCACACACAGGGCAGTGAACTGCAGTGCTTCCTGCTACAAGTATATACTGTTCAGTATTGAGTATTTGGTGTGTAGGGACAGTGCTTTTTTTTGTTTTTTTTCACAATGGCAGAATTACATTACACAAAAGCCCTCTGAAGGTTTCCCATTCTTCCTGATCTGCGTTTCTTTCCAGTAATACCTTTCCTCGGGAGACATTATGTTGGTATATATGCCAGTCATCAGCTCATTCAAGGCTACATTCATCTCAAGTGTTCCCTTCGGTCTCCTAAACACTTGTGTGCAACAATAAGCTACGCCGCCTTGTGCCGTGTGACATTTTGCTCTATGATTTTGTACGCTGACCCTGGCTCCATCTCCCTTTTCCTATTTCCACTCTTGTTCATGTTAACAAAACAAAGGCAAACCGATCACAGTGCAGCATAAATTCATCATTCTTCTTAACTCCGGAAAAAGCACGCTGTGGTTCCTAGACTTCCGACTCCTGTAGACATTCCTGGCATTCCGAACAGGAGTCACTGGAGTTGATCCAAGCTAAACAGTAACTCCTGTGCGTGCTTTTGACAGGTTCAGAGCCCCATGTCATGTAGGGCTCAGGGTTCAGACCCATTGTTCATTTATTCCAGTATCACTTTCAACCTCTTACAACAAAAGTGCATTTGCAGTGTGTTTGCTCTTTATCTATCTCCCACATACACATCAATATTCTGCAAGAGTGTGTCATAAGCACACAGCAGGAGGTAAGAAGTGTGTCTAATCTGCCTCTATATTGTTTATATGATTTGTATCGCTCCATCATTTGGTATTTGAACCACATGTCTTGCACATTATTGATTTAATGGCTTGACATAGAAAGTTCAAAGAACAGCATTTGTTTGAAATAGAAATATTTTATACCATTACATGTCACTTTTGATTCATTTACTGTAATGCATCCTTGCTTAATAAAAATATAAATTCTTCTTACTGACCCCAAACTATTGAATAGCCATGTATATTTGATCAAGTTTATGCATTTTATCAAGTTCCCTTTTGTACTGGATAAAAGTGTATGCTACATGAATAAGTGTAAATTCAAGCGGAATTAACTCCATGATATTGCTGTTGCTGTGCTGTTAAGCTACACGAATGATAAAAGTTCACTCAAGTCACAGTGTTTGCAACCCACCACATTCCATCTGCTCAAAATGCCCTACCTGTGGACAGACAGCTGGGCAGTGTGGTTATAATGCTCTCTGTGAATACAATGATCTTCTCAGTTACCTCTAAGATAGTGGGTACAGGAAGTGTGTGGGCATTCTGGCCTGTCAAATCCAGCAATGTAGGGCCGAGTCATGCATCAACAGTTACTTGATAATTTCACTCCGGAGGTCTGGCAAGCTAGTGTGATGGTGGCTGTGACGTACTTCTGTCGTAAAAAAAAAAATAAGAACAGTTTTTAGAGAAAAACCACGTGAACTTTAAAACTGGGCAGTGACACTATAGTTTTTCCAGACATTATACATGTGGCAGGCAGACAACACTTTCCTCTAAAAAGTGAACAATATGTGCACTAGACCTGTGAATGAATAACATTTCCTAAATACCTGGTAATGCTCCATTTCACTCTAACTGATGTAAAAACATGCATAGTACCTGTGAGTGAATCTATACCCTTAGGCATATTGGGTGGTGTAATTATCTATGAAAGGCTATCAGCCGCAATCTACCATCTATTTTTCCGCAACCAAACCTCATTAGATACGCACCACAAATGTTCAACTTCAGCCCTATTTTTTAGCAGTAGAAATAGTTCAACATTAAACAAAAACGTTGGCATCATAAAAACTGAGATATACACATATACAGGAGTGTGGTCTGAACACACACACACACACACACAGACAGACCTCACTGTCAGCACCCACTCATACACCTTTTAGTGTCAGCATTACCCGACTCATGAGACTTGCACACTAGTGCTGATGCTAACAGATTAGCCATGCTAAAGTGAGTCAGATGAGGAGCCTTGCTAAACATCATTTTAATGCTGTTGTCAGTGTCTTTATGTCAAAATGTACATCTTTTGCTTTATTTTGTAATAATATAATACACTAGAATGGCTAGAACAAAGCATTAGCACTAGAAACATCCCTTTGGTTTTTGTTCACAGGTCTGTTAGTTATAATAATAATGACAATTTGTTACATTTATATAGCGCTTTTTTGGGTACTCAAAGCGCTTTACATAGAAGGTTATAAAATTATGTATAAAATGGTATAAATGTTTTATGTTATAAAATAGTGGGTTTTGTCCTAAAGTTGAGTTTTGTGTTCTTTAGTCCATATGCTAGTTTGCTCATAGGAGTTGACTAAATTAATTTTTAGCAGAATGATTAAAATGATCTTCCAGGAAAATGGAACAAAAATATTCCTGACTCATTCATCCTGCACTACACTATTTTTACTATTTCTTTACAATCAAATGCAATGACAATATCCCTCTCTAATATTACATAGGAAATATGTCATGTGGTCTTTAACATTAAGAAACAGTTGCTGACTACAGACTGAGTGAATCTTGAGGGAACAAGCAGCATAAAATGTAATTAGATTATGATAAATTGAAACATAAACAAAATGCCTCCTTGACTGAATCAATAGTTTAATTAATTATAATTGTCTTTTTATAGATTTATTGACTTACTATTGAACAGATTCCAATAGCTTAAGACATGTTAACACAAGGATTAAGTGTTCACCCAGTAACTGATTGACAGCACAGCTCTTGAAGACAATATTAGGAAGTTAATTATTGCATTAATGTCGCTGATGGCTCACAGCAGACTTTTCCTTTGTTTGCTAATGAGTTCTCTTTTGTTTGTGTCTCTATGTGTTCCTACAGATATCAGACTCCCTGCAGCAGAGCTACGCTACGTCAGCTTTATGGCAGTTCCTGAGCTTGGGATATGCCCTCATGCTCTGTCCATTTGTCATCGTTCTGGGGGGGATTTTCTTCCTCGCCACCGCCCTGTTCTTCCTCGACGATCGTGACAAAGCCGAGAAACAGTGAGTGCCTAAGCCTCATAACCTTGATAGCTAACAGTAATTCAGTCTAATCTTTTAAATCATTGTTCTAATGACATCGAGGTGCTTCCGTTTCAAGGGTCCTCACTTTACATTCCTAAATGGGACTATCATTTCTCATTTCCTCCACTGACAATGACAATCCGGAGAATAGCGGTTGCCATGGTGATTTTGGTAGCCTTGGCCATTTTTGTGTGCCTGGTGAATAGCCTCAGGTGGATAGTTAATTCGTGAGGATGAACGAGCTGGATAGATGGACAGAGATCTAGATGTATTCTCAAACAAAGACACTCTGCATAAGTGATTTGCCAAGGGGGAAATGACACATCACATGGACTACAGATGACCTTTAGAAGATCAATTGCTTCCCTTACTCAAATCATTAAAACCCGTTATAAGAGAAATTTCAATATATATGTTATTTCAGTACACCAGCATTGGGCCAAGACAAGCTAAGCAAGTTTATGAATATAGCATTTAGAGGAAGTGTTTGCAAGCCTTTGTCCAGTAAAAACAGTCATGGCGACATGAGAGGAACTGAACATCAAATAAACCTCAAAGTTGTCTTCTGCCATTCAAGCAACCCAGACATGTAATTGCATTTTAACATGTCATACATAAGCCATTATGAGACACTATATGTTTATAGTATATATGCCCTATGTATATTTACACATAGACATTTTAAAACAGACCTTTATTATAAACATTAGCTGGTTTGGTCATGGAAGAGTCCCATTCCCTTAAAAGGTAAAGACAAACATGATACTCAAACTTTGCGACTCACTTTCCTTTTTTGCGGCCGTCTTTTATCAAGTGGATTTCCTGTGTGTGTTGCCACTCAAAAATGACTTCCTTCCTGTCTGCTTGAGGACATTTTTAGGCAGGGTGGTATGTTGGGTTTCTGCGGAAGATCTTCCCACGATAGGTCTTAGAGACGGCTAAGGAGGTTGACTTTTCTTCTTGTCTCGCCATCTATTACAACAGGCAGATTAATCATTATAGTCATCTTCCACAAGGAGCTACTCAACAAGATTATTTAATGTTCTTTTACCTGCTATATATCATAAGTAGTGGAATACAAATAGTGTACTTGAAACCAGAGATACAGGTCTTGAATAAATCAATCTTAACGATGAATAAATCTCAACTAAAAATGCAGTGACCATGTTCAAAAGTGTAGCATCAAACAGAATAATAGCCTATATAACTGACACTTTTCTATGTAGGTTTCCCTAAACACTTCTTACTTTTGCTGTTGGTCAGTCAAACAGATATCTCTGCCCAAAACTCACACAATTGGTTGAGCCAATCTTACTGGTCGGACGCTCAAATAAACAGAGCAATGTTTTGAAGCACCACAGTGTTTTTTTCAGGGAAATAAACCTATAAATGACTTACTTATACTTATCCCTGCATATTAAAATAGGATAAAGGAAAGTATTTTAACATTCTAAAACTAAAAACATCACTTCAGATGTAAAATAAATGACAAAAAATCGTAACTTTTAAGTTTAAATTTAAAGGTGATTTTTTTTTTTTTTTTTTTATCATATTTATTCTAGAGTAAATATAGCAAGTGAAGGTGTATCCTTAAAGACATTCAAAGCAGTTGACTCCCACAGTGGATTGTAGATTATACAGGAGTTTTACCACACCTTATGTAGCCATTATGGTTTAAAATAGCCACTGAATTGCATTTGCAGCTATATATGCCATGTAAAAGCAGAAGCTACAGATTAAAGCACTTATGTTTGTGGATGCAGCATAATATTCTTATATCCAGCCGTCATGAGCCTGTGCATTTATTCATTAAACATTTCCAACCAATACTCTTGCATAACACCCTTCTCACTGTTTTTCATAAGCATTGCATCATCATCACGAGGTTCAATCGAGCCTAAAAATAGCATTTTAACTGTGCTGTTTCAGGCTCAGTAGTTCTTTATTCATAAATATCTTGTTACTTCAATGTAGCATACTCGTTTGTCTTCCTCTATTTATAGATGCAACATACAAAATGAAAGGCGTTCACTGGAACGGAGGAATATATATTGAGCTTGAAGAGTACTTTATTTCTAGGTTGTTAGCTGTTTTGGGCTGAGGGGGAGCCATTTATAGCGCAGGGGAAAACACCGTGCACATAGGCAGCCATACAAAATACAAACACATGCATTTGTCTCATATCTTTTGCTGCCTGGCGTCAGTTGGCATAGTGTCCATGGGGATGTACTGAAGATATAAGCATCCCTGAACTGTGTGTTAAAGCACATGCAGCCTGTAGGGAAGACAATCACACTGCCATGAAGTGTCCCCATTGAGATTTCCAATAGAGTGAAAGAAGTTACAAGTAAGCAGTATTAGGATATCGTTTAACAGGACTGAAAAAAAAGTATTTCCAACCAATTTTTAGAAATCAAAATATCCAATCATAGTTACCATGTTAACTTTGACAACCCTACGAAGTACATTAAAGGGTTAGTTCACCCAAAAATAAAATTACTCACACTCATGTCATTCCAAACCCATAAGACTTTTGTTCATCTTCCGAAACACAAATGAAGATATTTTGTTCATGTGAGATCCTGCTCATGTGAGTGTACAATTATGAAAAACATTGCACAAATATCTACTCAATCTTTCCCTCATTATTCTGTTTCTTTTTTCCCTTTAATTTTCCAGCAGAGTAAACCAGCTTTCCCGGCCGCCGTCCACAGTTAAGGTAAGACCTCAAATTCCTGCAAGCCTCCAACAAATAGAATAGAATAGAATAGAATAGAATAGAATAGAATAGAATAGAATAGAATAGAATAGAATAGAATAGAATAGAATAGAATAGAATAGACTGGGTGAGGTTATTTTAATCAGTTAATAATCTCAAATTTGGCTCCTCTTCAAACCTCTGTTCCTGCCCCTTTCCCCTCTTTCTCTTATCAGCCTCTCACACACTGTTATGAGCCTGTTTGTATAATTACCATGATTTTGTATGCCCTAAAAGAACGGCAAGGCATCAAAAGAAAGAGAAAGAAAACAACATCGGGAAAAAGGTTTCTCTGGTTGCCAGTTTTTTAGGTGGAGGACAATGTGAGTGGGAGCAGTACACTAAAAATAACTAGTGCCCCAAATATTCGATTGAGAGGGCGGATTGTGACCGTTAAATGTGGTAATGTATTTTTGTAATGCAGACAGGCTGTCCCAAGTTAGTTGTCCTACTCTTCTACTACACCCTCCACATTCTAATTAGCAAAACTACTGCTCCTTATTAGGTTAACAGCTTAAACAGGCTGAAGTTTAACAGGAAATCAATAAGATATCTCTGGTTGGACGAAGCGCAAACCATGGCCCTGAGGGTTAGCCTGTCAGAGGCACATACATTAGCATAAATGAGCATGTGATGACAAGACATATTGCCTCAGTCACTTATATAAATGGGAAAAGTTCTCTAATCAATAGGGGTCAAAGCACAAAGTGGAGAGGGAACCGCAGAGTTACATAACAGACGGACACCCACACACGCGTTATTAGAAAAGGAATTACGAGGAGGCACGGTGATGTGACAGCTGGAGTGGGAGTACGGGAAAAATCACTATTGTGACATTAGCCTTGATGAAGGCAGAAGATTTCAGACAGGAAGGGCCTGCAACCAATGTAAAGAGAAGATAGTAGAGAGAGCAAATGAGAGATGAAAGAGAAAGAAATGGACCATTGCCCTTGGATTATATAGCAGATGGAGGATGTGCTAAACACTTAAGAGATCTTGCATAGTGTGCTTAAATCTAGTGGACAGATAGTAGATGATACAACAAAATGGAGAGTCTTTTCAATAAAAAGCTTGTCTTTCCTTTTAGAGAACATCTGCTAATCACTAATAACAAAACCAGATATGTCTTTCAACCATTCACCCTTTAGGCAGAGTTTAACATGGTTGGATTTCCTTAATACATAATCTATTCAAAATGAACTGAGAGTTATGTGCAATACTGTTTAAAAGTATATATATAAAAAAAAAGAAGAATAATACAGTAAAAACAATGATTTGTTTAACAGTAGAGGAGCTTCTAGGCCAGATTATTTGTGGCATAATGATAGACAAATCCCAAGCAGGACCCTGGATGCTCTGTAAACATCAGTGATGTGATTATCTAAGCATAATACTCTAGTATTTTTTAAAAATTGTTACGTTGCATCAGCCAAATATCATCTTAGAGTTCTGTTCTCTGCATTTCCTCATGCTACCATAATAAATTGAGACTAAATAAATAATTGTCAAGTTTGTGACAGACACATATTGGGGTGTCAGTGGGGCAGCTGTGTGAAGCTTACAGAGCTGAGAAGAAGCTCTGGTTGTAGTGTGTGTGTGTGTGTGTGTGTGTGTGTGTGGGGGGGGGGGGTTGTTTACCTCACCAGCAGCACCAGACAGATGGCTCACTGGGTGCTGAGTTATAATAATTAAAATGAAACATCCTGTAGGGAACCCAGAGACTAGGATGTTATTGCTCCAAATTTTATTCAACAACTACGAACAGCCAGAGACTGACACCTCTTTCTCTTTTTCATTCCCTCAGGTTACCAAATGAGAATCCGCTGCTGCAATGAAGAAAAAGTGGAATGAAAATATGGGAAGGTGGAGGGAAAAACAGAAGGAATAAAACTTGCAGCTAACTTTCTATATGCACACTCAGCATACTCTAAGATTACCGCTATCATCGTCATCTCTGCTTTTTCGCTCCATTCTGTGAAGGCCATTCTGAATTCGAGTCGCACCTTGCTTGCCCCGGTAAACCTTCAGCTGGCAAGAGGTCAGCCAATCAGCAGCTGGTGTGCAGCTATTAATGATGTATATAAAGAGCCATGTGGGCTCCGGTGGGTGTTTAGATGAGGGTGCGCTAGCGCGCTCTGTGCCATACTACTGAACACAGCACGGACACACACTCCCGTCCTGTCACGCTGCCTGTCGATCTGCACCAAGTGCCATAACATCACATTCCTAATGGGGACCAGTACCAATGATGCTCACAGCTAACAGGGGCTCACCAATACGCCAAAAATCCCCCCAAAAATCAGTAAATACAGAACTGAAGGAATCACTCACATCCCAACAAAAACTACGCGTTGAGTCCTGCCTTAAGAAATCTGGCAGAGGCACTGGTCTGGTCCCCGGTCACTTTTCTTTTATAAAGATTCTTTTCTTTGCTTATTATGAAATGAATTTTCCGTTCTTTTTCTTAGCACTTACCATTTTAATGCAGTGCCAGTGACATCATGCAGCCACGCATGACACATCGATCATTATCTTTTCTCTTCTTGCTCTGACTGTGTGTTTTTACAACTGAAACTGGAGGGACTTCGTAAACTATAGCCGAAAGGGACACTGGATTGTAAATAACTTTTTATAATGAAGAAACAAAATGTAAATGCTTTCATACTGAACTTTACTGAACAGTCTGCCAGGATAAATCGCATAGAATGCCCAAGAGGGGAGCAGAAATGTAAAAAAAAAAGAAAAAAAAGTAAGTGAACAAAGCCAAGGTTATCGTCACTTATCTAGTGTTTTTCAGTGCGGAATTCCGTCCGCAGTGCCGGGTTACCCATCCAGACAGGCAAACCTTCATTTTAACTGTGGATAAGATTCACAAGCTCAGTCTATAAGAATGAAAGTCTTTGTATGTTGGCTTACCTTGCTCATTTGGTTTTACATATCCCTTTACTGGAAAAGAAGAGAGAGACAGGATGATAGTGTATCGCAGCCAAGTTAATTACCAACTCTGCAATCCATCCGTTTTCAAAAAGGGAGAAATCTAACTCTGGGGTTAAGCTAAGTCTGGATTGCTTTTTTGTCGATTCTGTGAATTTTGTGGAAGTTTCTTTTAGCAGAAATCAGATATTTGAATATGTTGCATATGCTAAGAAAAGCACTTTGCTTTTCACTGAGTAGTCTTGGATATGAAGAAATACAATTGGAGAAAATATCAGTTTTCGCTGTTATTGGCCTGTGTGGTTTTACTTAAGAATATAGTTTGTAATATATGCAATTTAAAAGAAGGTTAACAAAAAATGAAAGCTTTCACAGTGGCAATAATTTGTATATTCTCATATTTAGCAAGATTCACTCAGCACGCACACACACACACACACACACACACACACACACACACCACTGTCACTTTTCTTGAACCTGGTGTTACCAAATCCGTCTGTATCTGAAGCCGTTCAGGTGTAAATCTGTTCTCAAAGAGAAGCGGATGCTTTTTCCAATCTTGAAAAAAGCACCTTGTCTATATATTGAAGTGGGGAAAAAAGCTAATCTGTGTATTTGAAGGTCTGACTTAACATGTCATGTGAAATTACCGTCCCTGTTTGCCAGTCATATCCTCTTAGTTTTCATCATGCCAGGTGAAAAGCCTTTGAATGTGATTCTGTCCAATCCAATGTGTTTACACATGCAAATTTATCTTAATGAAGCTTTTGTATTATTACTGTTGTTATTATTCTTTTACTGATGTCATTTTCTTTCTTTTTACAAATATGAGTTATATATATATATAAACACTATAAAGATAAACTATTATGCAGCGATTTTAATATATTGTAAACGGCTTTGATGCAATGTATTTATTATTATGTTTTTGTTTGCTACCCTTGCTGATAAGATGGTATAAGGGAAAAATATTGTCATAGATATTATGTACAGTTTCGTTTTTGTTTAATTTTCTTTGAAAATTCCTCATCACCATTTGAAGAATCTCTCAGTTGTTCATCTCAGAGAACTGTGTTTTCACAGGAGCCGATTATTTTACTGGTTCACACAAACATACAGCATGATTTACTCTTAAAAGGACATGTATTGTGTACCAACATGTTTGTTAGACCAATGAACTGATAATTGATTTATTTTGCACAAGCAACTGAGTGTGTGAATAATGTGCTGATCAGGGGGTTTTCTCTTACTGTCTAATCCAATAGTTCTACACTGGCATTTTAAGTGCTAGCTTTGAGGGATTATTCTCCATTCACTGCCTGGCTATAGCTTTTCAAAGTTATTTTACATGCTGATTATATGACTAGTTTATTTGTTTGTTGAAAGGCAGCGCTCACGGTGATCTAGATCGGATGAACGACTGGCTTAATATTTGTAAGGCCAAGTTCATTTTATCAACAAAACCCGATGCTAATGAGCAGTTTTATGAGATCGTTTTAATTGCTGAATCGTGAGAATTGAGTATTTCAGATTGCACATTTTCTTGTCATACAAGAATTCTGTAAAAATTGACCTATTTCTGATGTCAAGCAGAAACTAAAAGGTGATTTTATTTTTTAGAGCAAGTGTGATTATAAAGAAGAAAAGTATCTAGGACGTTTACTGTGATGCTCCCACGGGGATATACACCCTATATGTAACTGATCAAAATAAACTTATTTAATCAAAACAGAGCAATATGTTGTTGTCGTTTTTTTACATTAGATTTAAGTGCACTTGATTTCATTTTGTTAACGGTATGCATTAGATATGTTTTTGGAAAGAAATTAATACTTTTATTCAGCAAGAATACATTAAATTGATCAAAGGAGACAGTCAAGACATTTGTAAAAAAAAAAAATTATAGTAATTAAATTTATTTCTTTTTAATCAATTGTGGGGGGGGATTTATCATGTTTTCAAAAAAAAAATAGCAAGCATCCTGTAAAAAAAATTAATCATTGTTTTACGTAAAAATACACCACAACTGTTTCAACATTGATAATAATAAGAAATATTTCTTGAGCAGCAAATCAGCATATTACATATTGTGTGACACTGAAGACTGGAGTAACGGCTAATGAAAATTCAGCTTTGCCATTAAACAGATAAATTGCATTATACATTATATTAAAATATAAAATATTTTAAATTGTAATATTTTACAGTATTACTGTTTTTACGATATTTTTTGATTAAATAAATGCAGCATTGATGAGTATGAGACTTTCCAAAAAATAACCCCAAACTTTTTAACAATAGTGTAGCTATTCATATATGTAGAAACATTTTGAGGAAAACTATTGTTCATGATACCTAATGTATTAAATAATCCTTATTAATTATTAAGCCTTATTGTAAAGTATTATCTGATTTCTTTAACAAAGATATGAAAGATCATCAGACTAAAATATATATCTCAAAATCTGTCCATTCTCAGAAGATCCTTGCAGCTATTGTACAGCACATGAATGGGCTCTAATGTCAGAGAGCCCCATTAGCACATACCTGGGGGGACAGAAAGGAGACTTTCACTACTCCGGAGCAGGAAGCCCTCTCTCTTCCTCTTTTTCAGAGGTAGAAGGGGGGTGGGCTCAGCAAAAGGTTTCATTTTCATCGGGCAGTGCAAGAGTCAGCCAGGATTTGGGGGACTGGATAAAGTCCAGCATTGTTTTTAGAGAGGCACACTGCACCTCTGTTGCCCGGCAACAGTTTCTGTGACACCAGAGAATAAGAATGTAGATGGAGAAGGTCACCAGTGTGTTGACAAGACTTGAAACACCTACATAACCAGTGAGTGTTGCTGAAAATATGAAAAAATGTGCTTAGCAACAGCTGTCACATTCATCCATATTACAGATGAAAAAAATAATATTTGCTCATGGTGTGACCCAAACTGCATATGAAAGCAAATCGAGAAAGTTCACAAATATCTGCAACCGTGGCCACAGCTGAGTACAGAATTACCTCATACCCTGGTTCTCAAAGGGGCGCACAGGTACAGCTTGGGGTGGGGGTCAGCCGTTGCACCTCTTCCGCAGACGGAATCACAAGCTGCTATTGTGAACGCCCCGCTTCGCTGCCATATTCCAGCGAGACGATGTACAAGAAGCTGAGGTTGTGAGGCGCTGTCAAAAGAGCTCTGTGCAGCATCACTGAAATATTTAATTTTTTTGTTTTTTTTTCAATTGAAAGTTACGTTCTGATGTATTATTCTCCCTTACTGTTATATTTTTAAATGTTTTTAAAGGGTTAAGGGGGAGAGGCCTGAGCCTGACCAAGCGAGAACTACGGCCCTAAAAACTCATGACAAGCTCAGAAGACCCATAATGGCCAAATATCTCTAAAGAGTCAGTCAATAATGATGAGGTGTTTCTCTTTAGTTAAATGCAGAGCTGATTGTCTAAATCACCCCAAAAATGCTTACTGTGGCTGCGTTTAATCAGAAGTATTGATCACAGGAGCTTTTCTAATCACAAGTGACCTTTGCCGAACCTTTGACAGGAAGGTCCTTATATAGTTTATAGGCAACATTTCAATGTTTGACTAATTTACAGTCTCACCATTCAATTACAGTATTACACACTGAAGATGATCTGTTTTACTGACAACCATTTCAATATTTACATATGTAAGAAAATTAAAATGCTAATTAAAACAGGATCTTGAAATTAAACGAATATATGTTACATACTCAAATCAAACTGGCATTCAATATTTATATTTATATTAGATTAAAACATCAAACTCTATACTGAAGTGATGAAGACCTTTTCTCACTGGACATTAAACTCTGATAAACTGACAGAAATGCACTGGTCAAGCAAACCAAACCTAGTTCTGGCATGACACCATGAGAAAACTCTGTCAACGTCAACAGAACAGTGGAGATCTGACAGGAAACTCTAGGGTGTAGACAGGATATAATGG